CGAATAAGGCATTGCCAAATAAGTACCCGCGGATCAACGTAGGATATGACATTAGGCAGCAGTAATGTCATTACTGGATTGGATGGTCAACACATTATGAGTTAAGCGGCTGTGATACTGCGACAACAGCAGCGTCTGACCCAGAGTGGGCGGCTGCAAACAGCGTCTGTTCCCAGAGTGGGCGGCTGAAACACACTTACCAACCCGTCTGGCCAGCGTGGTGAGTTCACTGCCAATCTACCCCCCTCTTATGACAGACACACGTTATATTAATATTAACATTCAAATGAAATAAAGCATTTATATATGTAGTTAAACCTTCCTCTGAAATCATATACATTAACACTGAAAAGACAAATGTAATGTAGTTTGCATAAAGATTTAATTTTTAATGATCTGTTTATTATTATAGATAGCATGCATATCACCTGCCAAGTCAAATATTCATGAAACGCTCAACACGCTGCGATATGCAGCCAGGGCGAAAAAAATTCGAACGAAACCCATTGTGGTAATGGTGAGTAAACTTTTTTAATAAAATGTATTTTTTACTTTATTATTAATCCATAAAAAAGATTCACAATCACGTAAGGTTATAAAACAATACAGTTTATACCTAATAGGCCAAAGATGAAATATTCTTATTCTTTTTATTATTGAGGTAATGCCTCGACAACTAAGATCATTGGCATGGTACAGTCAGGTACCTAGTGTAGTGTGTGTGTGTGTGTGTGTGTGTGTGTGTGTGTGTGTGTGTGTGTGTGTGTGTGTGTGTGTGTGTGTGTGTGTGTATGTGTGTGTGTGTGTGTGTGTATGTGTGTAGAGTAAAGGTCAATTCAGACACATCAGTCCCGTCATAGTCTCGGCGCCGAACCGGTCCTGTTTGGTCACAGAACTATCAACTATCTGACAGCTGGGAAACTGTTTGTCAACTGATGAGTGTGAATGCCGGCAACATATTTGTATTAAAGAATATTTTGTATGACGGATTGTTCGGTTCGGCGCAATCACTGTGACGAGACGTGACTGATGTGTCTGAATCGACCTTAAGTGTCTTGATACTTAGCAAAGTCGACGTCATTGTCTTTGTTAAGAGACGCTAATTGTATCCGAACGTCTGCGGTCCCTCCGGTGAGTACCGATCGCACAAGGATAGAAACTATTTTCATTCATTAATTTTTAATAAATGAAAATTTCTCCACCCAGATGAGATTCGAACTCACGACCTTTAGATTTAAAGGTAGGCGCTGTTACCACTGAGCCACAGAGGGGGTTTAGATGAAATATTAAATAGTTTATAATGTTAATTATTATCTTGGAGAGATGTGTAGTCGACATAACCAGTTCTCTCACAATGCCACATGCTAGCAGAATATTAAAATAAAAAATATTATTAATAATCGAATATAATTAAAACTCAACAGTCTTCCAGATTGCACCGCATGGATTATAATTATTATTGCACCAAGCTTTCGACAACCTCTTCGATGTCTTCTTCAGACCTTCCAGTCTTTCGAATCCCCAGACACTACTACACTGATTACTAACCAATGCATTACTGGTACTGGGAACAGAGGACAGTTCATTTATACCGCCGATGGTGACGTGGATTAAGTGGAGATTGGTGTGGGGGTTAATGTGGGATTGGTGCAGGGATTGGCGCGAATATTTCTGGAAAATATAGAAATTGGGAAAAGGCCAAATTGTCTCAATAAAAGAGAAGATGGCACACGGTTGCCTTCTTCTTACAGACATTCTTGGAGATTCTTATGGCTTAACCGTAACTGTAAATGATTATACAAGAGTAACTGCTACTAGTAAAACTCAAATTGATTATATTGCTACAAACATAAATCACCCATAAAAAACAATGGTTGTGGAAGGTTTTATCTTTGATCACAGTGCGCAATTGTTCCAATGTAGCATTAACACAGACAATGATGCCTATATATTTATCCGTTCATATAGTGAAAGGAACATAATTAGTTTTGTTCAAACGATTGAGTCAACAAATTGGTCAGAGGTATTTAATACAATTTCTGCTGAGGATAAATCATTAGCTTTTTTAAATACTATCCAAAATTACTTTCGGTCCCATTTTCCACTACCTAAATGTAAACCTAAAAAATGTACACGTTTGAATTGGTTTACTCAAGAACTGTACAATTTCAGGGATCAGCTAAAACTTTTAGAAACGATCTGTCAACAAAATAGTAATTTTAGGCCAGTCCTTCATTTGGCAAAGGCAGAATATTCAGTTAAATTAAAACAGCTAAAAGTAGTCACTTCATGAGACAGTTAAACGAATCATCAAATAAAATGAAATATTTTTGGCATTTAGTAAACTTAACAGTCGGGAAACAAAATAACTCAAAAGTACCTAGTGATGATAACAGTAATTTAGCAGACAAATTTAACCACCATTTTGTTGAATGCTCAATTACTTGCCGCTTTGAATCCTACTAAAATTGTGGGTTTACATCAGCATCAAAAAACCGTAATAGTTGTTCTATGTTTTTATATCCAACTAACCCACAGGAAATAACTAGTATAGTCGGAAGTTTTAAATCCAAACACAGTTGTGG